TAGTTAAAGTGATTAACTACCCGCCTGGCACTTAGTTAAGGGGTTTTATTCCCTCCCTAACTTCAGGGGAAAATTCCTACCTGGGGAAACAACCTTTCTCAGAGAGGTGACCTTGGTTAAAACACATAGCGCCAAGAAGGTGAGCAAACATATTAAGAACAGTATGCCATATACGCCAAGTCCCTTGAAACATATGCTGTTCAGATGTTTCTTCCCTGCAGCGACTGTGTCAAGCAGCAAGGATGGACTGGCTCCCAGCACTGCTGTATATACAGATATATATTCTGTTGGTTTTTTCTCCATTAAGATTATATGAAGAGAATTTGCTTAGTTAAAATCATTTTTTTCTGATTATTGAAAAAACTCGATACAGAAAAACATAAATATTAAATCACCCATATTTGACCACCCAGAGGTAACTACTAATATATTGATAAATTTTCTTTTAGATGTTTTTTGTTTGTGTGTACATTCTGCACATTTCTTTTTTAAAAAAAGCAGGTGTATAATTATTTTATAACCTTTTATTATTGAATATTTTATATACCTTGTGGTTCATACTCATGCTTCTTTTCTTCACTCTCAGCCCACACCTGTGGCCTTAAGAGGAGTTCCAGTTGACTGAGGCAGAAAAAATTTAATCCTAGTTTACAAATTGTTCTACATCATATGCTGGTACCATCTGAAGATGGATATCTGTAGCACTGTCTCCATACGCAGTGATGACTCAGAAGTGCAGTGTTGAAAGGAAATTCTTCCAGTGGGTAGAACTTGGAGCAGTGTTTCTAGTTGTTCATTTTGCTTAGAAAGAGAGATAATTAGAGATGTAGATCCCTTCTGATTTGTGGCAGTAGCTAATTGTTTGGGTAATTCAGTATGGACTTGGAAGGAACATAATTGGAAGTATGTAGATATCTTTTTGAACGGACACAGTAATATTTGTATTTGGTGTGAATGCCCATCAAAGAGCAACCTCAGCAAAGAAGGACCTTAATAATCAGGTGGATGTCACCTCTGGATTTCATCCTCTTTCCCCATCCATCTCTATCCAGTGGGCTCATGAAAAAAGGACCTCATGGTGGCAGGTGTGGAGGTTGTACATATGCTCAGCAAAATGGACTTCCACTCACCAACACCAACCTGGCTACCTTTACTGCTGAATGACCACTTTGCCAATAGCACAGAGCCAATTTTAACCCCCTGAGATTGCACCATTTTTCTAGGGACAAGCTAGATATCTGGTGGCGGGTGGCTTTTATTGAACTACCTTCATAATGGAAAGGACAACACTTTGTTCTCCCTGAAATAACTACCTACTCTGGGTATGGATTTGCCTTCCCTCCCTGCTCTGTTTCTGTCAAAACTATTTGTGACTTTCAGAATGCCTCAATTATGTCATGGTATTTCATATCACATTATTTCTGACCAGGCAGTTCATTATGTAGCAAGTGGAATATGGCATTGGGCTCATGTTTGTGGAATCCTGTTCTTACCATGTTCCCCATTGCCACTTTTTGCTGCACAGGATGATCCTCCATCCAACTGAATCATAAAGGCCATGGCTCTGGGTTTTTTTTCCTGTTATAAACAGAGATGGTATGGCCATTCTTAAACATATAGTTTCTTTGATTAGATCTTTTATTTCTTTGGAGTAAATTCCTAGAAGTGAAGACTATATCTATTTTAAAGAACTGTGATACATACTGTCTAATTGCACCCCTCAGCATTATGTGAAAGTGCTTGTCCAAGATACACTCTTGATCATCATGGCTCTTTCAGTTTAATTCTTTTTTTTTGATGAACTTTATTTTTATTTATTTTTTAAAAATTTCTTTATTGATTAAGATATTACATATTAGTTTAATTCTTTTAAGATAATAAGGGAAGATAATTTATTAAATGGAAGTTAATGGGAGGAAGTGAATGCCTTGAACTGAGTATGAAATACTTAAACTTGTAACTAATTTTGTGTTTAAATGTAGTTGCTCTTTCTAAAACTGGGTTTTTACAAGTTTTGCATTAAGCCTGTTTTTAAAATTATTAGTCTTGTAGTATGGTGCAGGATGGTAAAGAAGTTTGTCTGGGATAAGTGTCATTGACATAGGTTATAATTATGATAAAACTTAAAATTTCAGAGTCTAATTATCTAGTTATTAGAGATGCCTTATGAATATAAATTGACTTGTAAAGGTTTAAAAACATTTTTATATTAGGGTTGAATTTGGAATTTTATATAATGGGTATATTAGCTATTGATTGTGTTCTTTAATTAAAGAAGAGACTGTGTTACAACTCCACTTCCTGTCCATTAAAGAAAAAACTGACACAGCCTTGGCCAGGTAGCTCAGTTGGTTAGAGCATTGTCCTGATATGCCAAGTTTGTAGGTTCAATCCCCAGTCTCAGGGCACATACAATGAATGCATAAATAAGTGGAACAACACATAGATGTTTCTCTCCATTTCTGTCTCCCCTCTCCCCCCATCCCCTTTCTCTCTTAATAAAAAACAAACACAAAACTGTGACATAGCAGGCAGCAGAGACATCCCTTAGATTTTGTCTGAAATGAAAGGGTTCATGCTAAGTGGGAGGTGGTAAGGAGGAGCTGTGCTGAAGCTCACAATGACTAGGTTTCAACTTGAGTTGTTATGAAAAAAATAGTATTCTTTTTGCTGGATATTTGCCATAACCTGGTGGGGTTTCTTTTTATTTAGTTTTCACTTTTATTGGAATAGGAATTGTGTTGAAGAAAATTAAGTCATTTTAATATTAGCTATTACTAGAGGCCTGTTGCACGAAACGATTCGTGCAATAGGCCTTCCCTTCCCCTGGCTGCCTGCACCCGTTTTCCTTCGGCACCAGGGACCCAGGCCTTCGATCCGGCCGGAGCCGCCTTCAAAGCCTTCGCTCCGCCAATTCGGCCTACATATGCAAATTAACCGCCATCTTTGTTGGCGGTTAATTTGCATATCTCGCTGATTAGCCAATGGGAAGCATAGCGAAGGTACGGTCAATTACCCTGTTTGTCTCTTATTAGATAGGATTGAGTGTATCTATCCCCATGATTACATATTTAATAGGTTTGTCAATAGTGAACCAGCATTTGGTCTGTGCACTCTTTTTTCCCCAATTCTCTCATCCCTCACCACAAAGTGATGGATTCCTTCTGGAATTTTTCTCAGATCTCAAGCCAACCAAACCTTTAGGTTAGCTTTCAGCAAAGTAGATGTTTTTTGTTTGGTACTTTAATAGTATATGAAACTCTTCCTGTTACAGGTGTTAAGACTTGAAACTTAAATCTTTGCCATCAGCATTAACATATATTTTTTCAAAGGGTCCCTTAAACCAAGAGGTTTATATGTGTTCCTTATATACTGTATTTAATCAATTCTAAGAAACTTTTTCTTCACCCTCACATTTTAAAATTTCTGAAATTGGGATGCTTTTACAATTAATGGTGTTCTTAAAAAGCTGTCAGCCAGGCAGGAGTTGTCATTGTTTGTACTTGCATGAACTTGATTGTTTTTGCTGGTGGTTTAACTGGATTATTGTAACCTGTCAACAGACCATTTGGGGACCATTTGAAGAAAGAATAGAGTCCTGCCTTTTGTCTTAAAAAAATATATTTTTGACACCTGATGGTAAGATTAAGCCAGCACCAGCATAAAAATTTGCAGTGTTGTCAGCGGCTTAGCAGATAGTCCTGGAAATAATTGTGGAGCCTTATTTTATATACTAGAGGCCCGGTGCACAAAATTCATGCACTGGTAGGGTCCATAGGCCTGGCC